ATATAAAAATAAAATTTAATATTAAAAATTAAAAAAAAAAAAAAAAAAATCTAAGCCTAAAGTAGGCCACAGATAGCTAGGGTTTTTAGATTTAAAATTTGTCTCTTTAATGCATCTGTCCATTCACATTCTCTCTTTTTTACCCTTGTCTTCACTCTAATTAGAAACTAGAATTCAAAAGACCACCTCACCCTGCTTCTGGACTAGTCTTGGTAACCCTGCAGACAAGGGAGGGATTTCTGGTCCTTCATCCAAGCCTCTGGCAACATGAGTGAGTTATACCCAGTGAGCTCTTTGAAAAGCAGATATGGGCCTCCCTGGTGGCACAAGGGGTTAAGGCTCAGCACTATGAAGCTGTGGTCAGTCACTGTAGCACGAGTTTGATCCCTGGCCAGGGAGCTAACCCACATGGCGCAGCAGACCTCTCCTGTCTTGCCCACTGCTCCCCTCAGCAGTGTATTTCAGTCAATCTGCCTGTTCTGTTCCCCACTCTGTCTCTGGTGATTCCTCTCACCACCTGCACCTCTGGCCTGTACCCCAGTTCTTGTATGCATAGATAAATAAAATAAATCTTTTTTAAAAAAAAAAGGAAGGAAAGTTACGTGGTAAGGTGTATATCATCAGATACCAGACCAGCCTGTGGGCTCTTGAGAACCCCAATCAGGAATGAAATGAGGACTCCAGATACCGACTGGAGATATGGGGTGGAGGGCAAAAGAGCCCTCCAGGGAGACCTTTCTTGCCATCAGAGTCTCTCAATTTGTCTCCAAAAGAACAGAATATGTTGAGTTGTGCTTAGAATGGGCCGGGAAGTGGTGGTGGTAGTAACCACATAGTTCTCCCTCTGATGTGTTCTAGGCATTTCTTTGTTGGCATCTGCTCAGTCAGTGATCATGCTTCACCACACATCACATGTGCAGAAAGGGCAGCTAAATCCCATCCATCTCATTAAATTTTAACATTACAATGACATGTCAGCAACTTTTGGTCACTTTTCACTTCCCCATATATGCTTTTTAATCTGGTCTTTTTGGGGTAAGATTTATATATCTATGCATACAAGAACTGGGGTACAGACCAGAGGTGCGGGGTAGAGGTGAGAGGGTTCACCAGAGACAGAGAGGGGAGCAAAACAGGCAGATCTCCTGAAATACACTGCAGAGGGGAACAGCAAGTGAGACAGGTAGGTGAGGTCTGCTGCGCCATGTGGGTTAGCTCCCTGACCAGGGGTTAAACTCAGGCCACAGTGGTGATAGCTTGATAGTGCTAAGACTTTTTTTTTTTCTATTTTTTTTATTCTTTTTTTTTAAATAATAAATTTTATTTTTATATTCCCCATACAATTGCAACCCCCTTATTTTGACCCCAATCCCTCCCCCCCCACCCCCTGCCAAAGTGTGTGTCTCTGGTTCATAGTTGTTTGTTGATTTTGATTTTTTTCTTTCTTATAGTTATTCTTTTTCCTGGTCCCTTATTTAGGTTTTCTAGATTCCTGCTATGAGTGAGACCATCCGGTATTTTTCTTTTTCTTGCTGGCTTATTTCACTGAGCATGATCCCTTCCAGCTCCATCCATGTTGCCGCAAATTGCATGTGTTTATCTTTTTTGAATGCTGAGTAATATTCCATTGTGTATATGTACCACATCTTCTTGATCCAGTCATCTGTTTTGGGGCATTTGGATTGTTCCCAAAGCTTAGCTATTGTAAATAGTGCTGCTATAAACATAGGGGTTCAGGTGCCCTTTTGAATTAATGTTTCTGTGTCTTTTGGGTAAATACCTAGGAGCGGAATTGCTGGATCATATGGAAGCTCTATCTTAGCAGGCTGAGGAATCTCCACACAGCTTTCCATACTGGCTGGACCAGTTTGCACACCCACCAGCAGTGCAGGAGAGTTCCTTTTTCTCCACATCCTTGCCAACATTTGTTGTTGCTAGTTTTTTTAATACTGATGCTTCCTCTTTTGGTGATGGCAGAGTTCAGATGTTCTGCAAAGATAGCTTGAAAACATAATGTTGCAACAGTTTTGTAGCATAAGCAAACAGTTTAACAATATAGGGGCTCCTGGAACCTCCCTGTTAATGACGCTAGGGAGCCTTGAAACCCTGGGCTTGCAGTATGGATTAGCTTGGGATTCCATAAATAAAATGCCTGTATCACAACCTCTCGCTTTCAACCCTACACAAAAAATAATGGAGAACAGTCATGTGCCTATTAATGGCAGGTATGTGCTCTGAAAAATGTGTCATTAGGCAATGTCATTGTGTGAACATCATAGAATTATTGATAATTGTACAGACCTAGACAGGATAGCCTATAACACATCTAGGCTACATATAGGGACCACTGTCATGTACTCAGTCTTTTGTTGATCAAAATGTTGTTATGTGGTACATGACTGTATCTTTAAAAGAAAAAAAAATAGCTTTAAGTGTACTGTTTCATGGATTCAGCTTATAATAGGAAAATAGGAGAAACTGGGTCCATTTATTTGATTATTGTTTTTTCAAACTCTCTGCAGAAAACTTTTTCACTCAATCAATTTGGCATTAAAGAACTCCCGTAATTTGGTCCCATTAGTTGTGCACTTAAATCACAGTGTTTAATGGATTTTAGAGTTAGACAGATATTTTGCTGATAGATTTTAAGAGCCATGTGTGTACTTGGTCAAACCAGTCATCCTGGGCCTCCCTGGTGGTGCAGCGGCTGAGCGCTGGGTTGCGAAGCAGCCCGCGGCTTCTGCAGTGCTGGTTCGATCCCCAGCCATCAGGAGAGGGTCCCACATGGTGCGCAGACCTCTCCTGCCATGCCCTGCCATACCCCCTGCTCTCCTCAGCAGTGTACTTGTCAGTCTTCCTGCTCTGCTCTCCCCTGTGCCTCTGGTGAATTCTCTCACCCTCCCGTGCTTCTGACTGTACCCAGTGCTTGTATAAATAAATAAAATAAAATCTTTAAAAAAAAACCAAAAAACAAAAACCAGTCATCCTTTGTGTGTTTAGTTTCTTCACTGGAAAAGGGTGAGTAATAAGTACCATCTACTGCCCACTTGCTCTGCTAAATGGTCTCTTTTTCTCTTTCTTTCTTATGTACGTGGATATCCCCCCTGTACTAGTATGTGTGTGTGTGTGTGTGTATATATATATATATATATATATATATATATATATATATATGCGTGTGTATATATATATATGTATAAACACTCATTTAATTTTCTGTGGGAAATAGACAATACCTGTTTTACACAAGTTTTGTTTTAGTGAGATGAGTAAGAAGTTCATGTTCAGATCTTTCACTTTGGTTGAACTGAGATTTGAAACCAGGGCTGTCAGATTCACAAGCCAGAATGGCTTAGCTTTTGTACCAGACTATCTTGATTACACGTCACAAGAGTTGTGATGAAAATAAGATGGTATGGTGCATATAAAGAGCTTAGCATGGTTTGAGTTTCCAGGGTAGTTGTGTGGAGAAACCTGCAGACACACTATAATACAGTGTGATGAACATAAGCGTAGGCATTTCTCCAGCATGCTTGGAACCAAATAACTTGAGTCCTCTCTGTACTTTCCAGCATTGTGGCCTCAGGCATGCCACTTAACTCTTGAGTCTTTTCTTCACTTTAAAAACAGAGAGGATATTATCTAGATTATAGAACTATTATGAAAGTTAAATGGTGTAGCAAGTGTGAATTGCAGTCTGTCTTTGACCCCTACCTCCTCCTCCGTTTCTATGGTTTTGTGGGGAGCATCCACAGGCTGTGAAAGAGTTTGAGGTTGCAGAAACCATAATAAATTCTAGCTTCTTCATCTGCCATTTGTATGATGATGCCATGATATATAATCTCTATGAACTTTGTTTCTTTTGTTTGTAAAGTGGGTCTTTCAATACTTTCTCCACAGGGCAGGAAAAAATGAGCCACCGTATGTAAAGTGCTCTCTCCTTCCGAATTTCCTTTCTTGGCCCGATTTCACCCATTCTTCAAGACCCACCTAAATGCAAAATAATCAAAATCAGAGCCCTCCCTCTTCTGTGAGGACTTTCTTAATGACTGCAACCCAGTCTACACTATTTTTCCAAATTCTCATTTATCCCTGTACCAGCCCCTATATCCATTAGGTTTACCAAACACAATTCCAGAAACACAGAAAGTATTTCATAAGTGAAATAACAGTCCTAATGTATTTTTAAAATATCAGATAATAAAAATATTAAAATAAGAATGGAATTTATTTAAAAAATCAACTTTTTAAAATTGAGGTAACATACAACTATGTGTAATTCAGAGACACAGGATCACACCATCTTAGATGCATGTCCTCACACCACACCCACCACCAAGGCCCCCACAGACTGTACCACCGTCCATTGTGCTCCCTGCTCACTTTATTTGCCTTCCTCCCCTTCCCCAGTTTGTAGCCTCAATTTCATAGTCAGGTTTTCAGAGTTTGTTATTAAGGCTGCTGATATTGGCAAAAACTGCCTTGTAAAGGAAATAATGTACTGGGGGAAATTAGTCTTTCTTTTTGAAAACTGAGAAATACAATTTCCTGACATCTCTTGAAATATCTGGGGGCTATTGGGGGATGTGACTTAATCTGGATTAAGAATCTCAAGTCCAGGGTCTCCCTGGTGGTGCAAGGGGTTAAGTCTCAGCACTATCAAGCTATCCACAGCCACTGAAGTATGAGTTCAATCCCTGACCAGGGAGCTAACCCACATGGCGCAGCAGACCCCTCCTGTCTCACCCCCTGCTCCCCTCAGCAGTGCCTTTTCTGCTCCTCACTCTGTCTTTGGTGAACCTCTCACCCCCCTGCACCTCTGGCCTACACCCCAGCTTTTGTGTGCATAAATAAATAAATCTTAAAAAGAAAAATAATCTCAAGTCCAAAGAAAGCATTGCACACATTTTACTCTTGAATATTTTTAGTTCTGTGTTGTGTGATAAGCCGCATCCTGGATTTATTTATACGTAACACTGTTTTCTTTTTTTTATATTTTAGATGGAGCAAATTAAAAGGGCAAACAAATTGTTCACCAATGATTGTATATTTCTGAAGAAAACTTTGAACATCCCAATTATATCAGAGAGGCCTTTGCTGTTCAATGGACTTAACTCAATAGATTCTCCAGAAAATGAAACTGTTGATAGCAGTTTTTCTCATGAAGAAGAGCAAGTGGCGACTGGGGAAGACCTCTCTCCTGCCAGTCCTCAAGAGTCTGATACTCAGCCTGTGCAGCCTGAGGAAGTATCAGCCAGAGATTTCCTACAGAGACTAGACTTGCAGATTAAGTTATCAACACAGGCAGCTAAGAAACTGAAAGAAGAGAGCAGGTACAAAAGCTCTGGTAAAATGTCCAGGGCTGAGTAAATCACTGTGACTGCCCTTGTTTGGCCAAGTTCTTTTCTTTAAAAACTGTATTTTGATTCTAGAGAGGTATTTTTAAACACACAAAGTCTAAACAGTATTGCTTTGCATAAGGTTTTATCTGTTGTGACGCTTTTGTCTCTGTTAGTTATTATTAAAAAAATTACTCCTTTGCTCTGATAGTATAACCGTCCAGCCAGCAATTCTGGCTAGTAGCCAAATAGAAACATCTAATTGCCACCTTCAAAGGAAGCGGTGTCCTAGAAAACACTGATCCTTCTAAAATTTGTCATTATGTGTTACCGGGTGTTTCTACATAAAATCTCATGTGAATTTTTTGGTATTTAATTTGGTACTAGTGCAAGCCTTTATCTCTCCCATAGAATTGGTTTTCATTTTCCTTTAAAACTCTAAGAATGGTACAACTTACCGTGTTTCCCTTTTTGCCCTGGCTACCAGGAAGCTTACAACTAAAACTGATCCTCAGTTCAACTACTATAATATTTGTTGTGGTTAATATAGTTGTACATTTTACCTTTCCTTAGTCCTGATTTTTTATTTTTATTTTATTCATCATTTATATGTATGTGCTTTGTTTTGGGTACCTCAAATTCTTTTGAGAAAGGTAGAATACCAAAACCCAAGCAAATATACATATGAATATAATTAACTTATAATTTAACATGCCTCATTTAAGTGTAATATAAAAAAATATAAGTTTATAATGAATACCATTATTTATCTCATAAATGAAATGCCAATAAAATGGAAACAATAAAGTACACCTTAATGAGTATTTACATTTCATATAACTTTCAAGGCCTGCAAGCTTTTATTAAATTCATACATTCTTGCCTTACTGCAAATGGATATTAAGTTGTATAATAAATATATGTGTTAGTTTTCTGAATACAGTTTTTAAACACTGACTTAATGCTGTTTGTTTTTTTTTCTCCCAGAGATGAAGAAAGTCCCTATGCAACTTCCCTCTATCACAGTTAGGTAGTGATCAGGGGCATAATCAAGCCTGGATTAAGAGATCGTTGAATCATAAAGAAACCAACAACTGAAGATTCAAAAGCATCCCTTTTGGATTCTCACAGTGTACATTTTTAAATCACAGTTAAGAAGTTCTACCTATTACGATTGCACTGAAGTGATTAGTCCCTGCTGGCTTTCTATAATTTGAAGTCTTTATTATGGCATGATAGCAAAATTGTATCCAAAAGCTCACCACTTTTGTAGGTGGTGGTAGTTTTTAGACTAGCTTTTGTAAATACTAGTTGATATAAAGCATCAAAGACTATTTACATATGCAAGCTAAAAACAATGTTTATCTTCTGAGAAGTCCTAATTATGTAAAAAACTGGTTGCTGGTTGCTGGTTGTGTGATGCTGATTTTGCTATGTGTTTATAACTTAAGTGCTATATATATATATTTCGGTATGTATTACTTTTTCTGTATTAATATGAAGAACCAAATTTTGTTTGCTATTTTGTAAAAATAAACTACAAGAGTCTGAATGAGAAAATAAACTATGTTTTCATATTTGAGTCTTCAATTATTTTCTGCAATAGGAAAATAAATTGATTTTTCAGTTATATACTTGAAATAGTAATTGTTCTTTGCTTAATGGTATTTATTATAACTGACATTTTGAAAAAAAGGTTTATCTTTGCATGTTCATAATATTTCACCTAAAATGTGTCAGATGTTAACCATTGTAAAAATTTCTGGGGTCCCTTTCCTCCCAATCTAGCAGGCAAGAGATCAAAGTGGTCTTTAGTAATTCTATACTAAATATAGAAATCTGATACCTGAAGGTGAAATCAGTTTTTTCAGATTAAGTTTTAACAGATAAAAAAGATTGAATAATGGGTACCCAGCTTTTACATTTCTGCAGTGCATTCTTTAAAAATGGAAGAGATTAAATCCTCTGTTGCCTTTACTATCTGTATATCTTTAGATCAGGACTAGAAGTCCCTTCTATCAAAAATAATTGCATTCTTAATGTCAATAACTCAGTATTCCTACCTATATAAACTAAATTCAAACATATTTATTAGAACAACTCTCACAGAGTAAATCTAGTGCACTATTTCCAGGATTCAGATCTTACTATCTGTGAGGCTTTATTTTCAGTCAACACAAATATAGTGGAAACATGGAATATGATCCAAAGAAAAAATAAGTAATATTGTGATCTGACTCTCTAGATTGCATTGATAAGTCACTTTATATAGAGAGTTTTGTTATCACTGTACTCATTTGAATTGAGTTAGGTTTTTATTTATAAAATTTGTCTTTTGTGTGTATAGGTTGCATCAGTAAACTTTCAGCAGCATATTATTTAACATTAAATTTGGTGGAGATCTGGATTTCTTAAGTACCAGTTTAAATACATCTTTAAACTTCCATAAAATTTCATATATTTACCCCACCCTCTCCACCATCCCCAAAGGAGTCTGGGTCAAAAAGGACCTTTGTTTCCAGTCTTTTCTCCTTCTTTTTTCTTTCCTCATTTTCCCCTCTCATTGACTCCTCCAGTCTTCCACTAAGCAGGGAAACAAGTGCCCATAGTTTAATGCAGCAGAGCTCACAGAACTGGAACAGCACAGATCCAGCCTTTGGACTGATTATCAGGTATGTGAATGGATAATAGTAGCTGTCCACCCTTTCTTGAATTTCTTGCTTGTTCAGAACATACATAATCCCTTATTTTTTTTGCTTGTTTGTTTATTTTTGTCATGATAATAACTCAGGCTATTATTGTTTTCTTCTGATGTTATTTTGCTCTTTTCTTGTATCCACTTTTCTTGTGGAGAGTTAGCTGGAGGAGAAAACTTTAAAAAAAAAATAGGAAAGGAAGTAGTTGTATATGTACGAAAAGACTCAGATCTTGGTGGATGCTTGGGAACTTTAAAAAATGTAGCATTATCATGCTGTTTAACCTAATTAGAAATTTGAGAGTAATCCAGAAGACTTAAGCCCCCAAAACACTACCAAATGACATAACTTAAGCTCAAATTTGTGACTGAGACTGTTGGAGGCTTAGAGTAGAAAATTTGGGATGGAGGCATCACAAGACCAGAAACTGGAGGTGGGGTTAGAAATGATTAACATCGTCATTAAACAGCTATAGAAATGAAAAATCGGTTCTCCGTGGCAGTCTAGGGGTTATGTCTCAGCACTATCAATGCTATCACTGCTTTCCTTTGTGTATTTCAGTAAGTTCACCTGCTCTGCTCCCCACTCTGTCTGGTGAATCCTCTCACACTTGCAGCCTACACCTCAGTTCTTCTACAAAAAAATATTTCAAAAAAGTGAAATTCTTAAGCTCAGCTGGCCTGGAGATACAGATATGGGAGTGTCAGCCATTACAAAGGACTGCTATAGAAAATAAGTGGGGACCAGAGGTGGGGATGTGGAGGACTGATCTAGTAGTGGTTAATTTAACAATGGATAAAAATTTCACAAAGAAATGAACCCCTCCCCCCAAAAAGGAACACTATATAGCAACAACTCCTGCCCTAGCAAAATGCAGCTCTGTCCCAAGACTGCCCACCAGGTCTATGCAGGTGTCTCTTTTCTGTCCCTTTAAAAAGCTACAGCACTCTCTGCCCCCCATATCTGTGCAAGCCTTCCTTTTTTCCCTAACAAACTTACCCTTTTTGGATATTTTATCTGCCTAAGTCTGTGCAAACATCTTTGACTCCTGGGTAAAATTGCTGTGTGCCACTAACGGGAACTCTGCCAGCGCTTTTCTCAGAGGCAAACCAAAGACCCCACTCACTGAACCCCAACATCTCATCAGAACCCCATCAAGACCGCAATCTCAAAAACATATTTCTCAGTGCTTTATTTTTGCCTAAGGTCTCTTAGCAATTTCTAGCCAAAATATCTCTCCCTTCACCTTCATGTTATGACTGTCGTGGCCATAGTTGAACTGAGTTGTGCGTGAGCACTTTTGGCTTCTGTGCACCTGGAATCTCTGTGGAAGGGCTGATGGAACAGGAAGCCTGGGTTCTTTCCAGCTCTACCACTCTGTTTTCCTTTTATGAACCAGTTTCTTCATTTATAAAAAATGACTTTTTGTTGATAGGAGAGCGTGAATGTCAATGTGCTCTGAAAGCTACCATAAGCTCCCTAAATACATTTCTAATTTTAAAAGATACTACATAGATATTTAGATAAATTATAGAAAAGTGAATGGATAAAGCTTTAGTTACAGCCAGTTTTTTCTCTCTGATGTAGAATCAACCTTTTCGAAACCCTGAGTATGGAGTAGTTGGCCTTGTTATCAAGGATGACGCATTAAAACGGTGAATCATTTGACTTTGACAAGTGCATAGAGTGGGCACGGGTGGTTTTTGTTCCCTCTTGGTATCCCTAATGGGTCCTGATTTTTTATGAGTGAGTTAATTTCTCTGTGTTGCAGGCTTTGGTTTTGGTATATTTTTGCAATTTTCTAGAGAAGATGAGGAAGAGGAACAACAGTAGTCTCCTACCCTTGAGAAAAAGCTTAGTCTTACCAAAAAGTGAATATGAGATATTCAAGAAGGCATTTTGAAGTGGCAACACTTAATACACAAAGCATCATATTTTTATGATTTTTCAACTGAACTACATTTCAAAAATTTTGTAATTAATTTATATTGGATGATACATTTTTAAAGCATACTGTGACCATTAGCATTTCTAGAGGTCCCCGGGCCACTGTGTGCTTATCACAATCCTCAGGGGGCTGTGTTTGTGGTGGTTGCTGAGGAAGGGAGTGGCAGGCTTCCAGAGTTCACTAGACGTTTTCTACAGGAGAAGCTCAGCTATCTTTGGTTCACCAAGAAGGGAATAATTTTTATCTTGATTTCTGCTCTACTGAGAAGCCTTGGCTTGAATCAAAGCCAATTTAGATAACTTGGATCTGGAATAAATTTTTACCTTGCTTTATGTACTTGGGATCTCATTTTCTTCTTAGAGAATATGTGTTGTCGCTCTAACAAATTCAATGACTGAAAACTCATTAATAGAAAATTTAAGAGTGGGGAGGTTTTAGTAAATCCAGCAAATCCTATGCCCATTTTTCAGGTCCATTTTTATGTCATTGGGCCTGATAAAGGGTTAACTAAAAGCACAGTCACAAAAGCAGGTAACTCTCCTTTATGCTATGGAGACTATGAGGAACTTAAATTCATTTCAACTGCCAAAGGGAACTGGTGGTGGAAAAAACATCTTGTAATACACACATTCTACCAGGTGCTGTCATATATAGCATGCCTTCAAACAAAGCTCCCTTAATGCTTCAGGGGCTGCTTATGTGTGGAAAGAAGTTTCAGATTTAAATTCAGTCCATTAAAAACTTTCCAAAAACATACCTCTGATTATAAAATGTAAATATATGAAGAAATAAGGATTCTATATACAAAATTTCAACTTACATACAACTTTACTTTTCACATAATTTTTATAGCAAGAAAGCTATGTTTTAACCATTTCTAAAAGGTTAGCTACTATAAATCCAGTACTTTCTAATAATCCTTGGGTCAAAACGACTTTAATCACAGAATTAGGAGTGTTTGAAGCTATATTACGGTTTCCAAAAAGGTGGAAAGACTCCTGGGTCTTTTGCTATTTTTACAGGCTGCTGTAAATGCGCTTGATAGCATCGGCCTCTTCTTTATCAAGGATGCCTTTCTCCACATAAACATCAGCTTGTTGATTGATAAAGTCTCTCATCTTTGAAAGGTCATAATCTGGAAAATAACATTAAGGTATCATGAGCAAGGATCAGGAAAAACCAATCCCATTACAGTGATTAACATTAGCTAAGAAGCATTTTGGTCAACACCACAATTACCATGCCCAGTTTTCACATTGGAAGACATTATGAGTTCTTGGCATTTGTGCAGTGCTTTGCAGCTTCAAATCAGGTTACATGTATTATATTATCTCATCTGGTCTTCCTCATACTGCAGTGATTGGTCCAGAGATGGGGAGTACCGTTGTCATTTGACCGCAGGGCTTGTTGAACAAGGCTTTTGCAAACTGTGTAGACCAATGACATGGGGACAGATTTACATTCAGTATGTCTGGGACTGAGAGTCTGCATTTTAAATAAACTCCCAGGAATCACACTTGGGGTAAAACAGGATCCTAAGCGTCAGTGTCTTGTTCAAGTTCACAAAGGTGGTAATAAGTGTGAGAACTTCCTGAATTCATTACACTGTTTAAATCCATGTTGCTATGGCAACCCACTTCCTTTTTTACAAATTAAAAATTGGCTTGATTTTTCAGCTTGAGTTATATGCATGGAGCAAAAAGCCAAACACAACCTCCTTATAGCTCCTGTCCTACTTAAACCAAAAAATCTATATAAATCAAAACATCCAACAAAAACAAAGACATCCCCCCAATATAGGCGCTGTCTGTGGCATCTGTCTGAAGGCTCTCGAGGACAAGAACCCCAAAACCATATCATCCCTTGATTCTTTTTTTTAAATTAAAGATTTATTTATTTATTTATTTATACATACATACAAGCGCTGGGTACAGTCAG